CAAAACCTAGACGAAATGAAAACGATTGTGTCACATCCCACTGTGTTTACCAATTTAAATGTGTGTGTGGTCACACATACATAGGGAGGAGCAATCGTGATCTGAAAATTAGGGTGGGTGAACATGTACCAAAATGGTTGCAAAAACAAATACAGTCGAATGACCCAATAAGAGTAGAGGATAAACATCCATCATCCTCTATTGCTAAACATATAATCGAAACAGGTCATAAGATTGATCTAAACTCGGCTTTTGTGGTGTTGTTTAAAAGTGTAAAAGGGCGTATACTAAGGTTTGTTGAAGCCTTAGCCATACGAAAATTCAACCCCCCTTTGTGTATTCAAAAACAGTTTGTTCTCTCTTTAAACCTACCCTGGTAATAAATGCTTATTATCCAGAGTGATTAGGTGTCAAGTTGTTTTCACATTATTTTATCATTATATCCTTGTCTATTTCTTAACCTTATTACCAGTCTAGTTGACCTTTTATTTTTATATATAAATGTTCTTAACAAGTATATGTGTGATCAGATTGTTCGAAATGTATTGCGCTAATATATCACATAGTTCTGATAATCTTCGTCTTCTCATTGCATTATCGAAATTTATCAAAGGGACTAATTGCTTTAAATTAATATTATGATTTACACAAGATACATATAAGATTTATCATATATGAACAAAAGGTTTTCATGTTTCTTTTTCGTCTGATATAAATTAGTTAACATACGAAATTTTTTTTATCTCATTCACACTAGATAACTAGAAGATTGTCCTTCCTCCTCCACCCCTCATCCTAATAACACTACAATAGCACATTGTTTAAACAAACCACTTCTTATCAGGATAAAAAATTTATCATTTCATTACAATAATTCATATGATTCCATGATATGTACAACATGTATGTTCATCTCTTTCTCTCTCGGTATATTGACACCATACCTGTAGTGTGGTTAGTAGAAGAATAAATGATCAAATTTTTTCCATCATTATCTGCTTGATTTATCATTTAAGACACGTTCACTGAAAGTATAAATAAAAAATGAATAACCTATCCGAGTTAAAGGAAATGAAACTCACTAGAGTATTTCTATGATTATTAGTATTTTTGTGTTTTGATCACGTAATTCTAAATGGATATTTTCCTCTGCATATATTCTCTTTTACAGGTATATCATGTTTGCAATTATCCATAAGTATAATTATTATTTTACATTTAGAACTCTGTTTATGTAAGGACGGCTCGTTGGTAAACTCTAAGAAGCCTTAAGAAGCCCAGAAAGAGCCGGACATATTCCATCCAATCACTGCTAGAGGCATATTCTAGAATGTTGACGTGTAGCTCCCCCATTGGATGGATAAGAATGACCCTCTATGTGCCTATTGGTTATCCGAAATGATGATTTAATCTCAATCAAAAACTATAAATACATGAGGTTTCTGTACTATATTTTGACACTGTTTTGGAGAATAAAAGTTCCTACTTACTAGTCTTCTGTACTCTCTCTTGCGACGTTGAGGGTTCTATCGTTCAAGTAGTCTAGTAGTACGCGGCATAGTAAGAACCAAAGCTATAGATATAACAGTTTATATGGAGAATTAATTGTTCATGTTCGATGAAATTGTAGGCTTTGCTTTTTTTATTATCGCATACCTTTTAAAATAAACAATCTAGTCATTTGGTATTCGATCTAAATTCATCACTTGTGAAATATCGTCTTTCTTCTCCTAAATCAGTTCAATATTGATGGAAAAATCTCTGTTATACTTCTTGGTTTGGTGTATTTTGAATTAATAAATCCGTTGTTTTGTATACATATTCACATTTTATCATCAAGAACAAAGATTTTAGGAAAATAATATGAATTGATTTCATTAGCTTCTTGTCAGCTACTTGCGACCTGTACTATTTAAAAGTTTAAACTACTTATTGAGTTGAAAATACTTACCTAAATGAATTGATAGATATAGGAAAAAAACTAGAGATAACAAGTTGGATGTAACTCCAGTCAACAATGAACCATTCTTTATCCATCTCAACTTCGAAGGTGATGTTATTACAAGGACAGTCAGTATATACCTTAATGCTGCATTAACCAGAACCTACCATGCACCCAAACTATTAGTCCTGTAATGAAACATCTTCAAGTTTCATTTAAGGGTAAACAAGTTCCCCATTCGTGTTAGCTTCAAGTGTGCATAAATTAACGTATACCTGTCAGGCACGTTTATTGATTGATAGAAAGGAGGGCTTTCCTTGGATTTTTAAACATATTTTTAAAATATTTTGACCAAAAGAAATACTTTCAATAATGTAATCTCTTGGAGACAAAACATCAGCTTGGCACCTTAAAAATCTTTCAGTGTAATTACCAAACGGCCAAGCCCTCGTACTTTGAAGTTTGCTGCAGAAATTACCATGTGATTTATGTTTTCAAAGGGGCAATATAGTCAATCATTTTCTGTTTTTGTACCATAAACTTTAATTAGTTGTATTATTTAGTTCTTTTCAAATCTTTAAATTAGTTGGTTGTTACATCACCTTCTTTAACTTAATTTCAGTTCAATAACTTTAATTTTTAACTAACCGAATTTTATTCACCTTATTTCTATTTATCATTGGCGTGTGCTCGTCACGTAACCACTTGTTTCTAACTCTTCGGTTTCTCCTTTCTTTTACATATTGTATGTCTATAGGCACTTTTTATTTAGTTTCCTAAATTTATTTACATCTTTTCCATACTACGCTGATGTATGAAAATAAAAATTCCCAACAAAATTCATTTATGTACTTGTAACTCAATTTATAATTTTAACCACTAAATAATATAGTTTGTAAGAAGCTGATAAGAACCTAATGTAATAAAATAAAATAATGTTATTCTGCTTAAATCGTTGCTCTTGCTTTCTTCTTGTTAATAAGTTAGTTGAAGTAGGACTCATGAAACCGAATTACTACTAACATTTGCATTCTAATCGCTTATCTTAAAAGGAAAATGCCATTTATTGCTTATTCCAAAATATAAAACTTTTCAAAACTCATAGTACAATAGCTTCATATCTTATCGAAAACCGGTTGGTGATACATGTCATTAGGATTTAAATTTTTTTCAAAATAAAACTAATTGTATTTAGTCAGTCGTGAACAATGTAGAGTCTGGGATATATGTGCATTTGTTCAAGTTTTCACACCATATCGAGATGAATATCAAAGGGGTAGTACTACTAGTATCAGTTACTGTAGAAAAAAAACATTATAGAAATTATGGTTTAAGATAAATCTGCATATATACAGGATATAATTTTTTAGTGTTTTTTACATACCTACGTGAATAATTTTTTTCTCTGGTTAGCGTTTTTTTAGCGAGTTGGTTTTCTACGGGATGGGGTCGCTAACCCCATGCCCAACCCTCCTCGTTTACCCGGGCTTGGGACCAGCAGTAGCTCCTGGAGGAGCTACAGGCGGACTTATTTTACATAACTAAATAGAGCAAATATATTGTTGTACACACTGTTATGATTAGATTGTATTTTATGCTGATAATGAAGATTTCTAACGAAGAAATTTCTATGCATATATATAAGAATGTAAACGAAGATGTATATGACAGTACATTGTGAAAAGTAACAATGTTGTTTATAAAATGAGCAAACAGTTAAATAAGAAATGAATTTCTTTCTCACCTCATAACCAATTATTAATTTTTCACTTGGAAATGGGTAAATGTAACACATCATTTGGTATATTTAACAAGATTTATTGGTTGATATAATGGACACTTGAGAGGAACAATATTCACCAATAAATCAAATGACGGAATCGATCGAATATTTATATAACTAATGACGACTTTTCATTGCAAACACGAATAATGTTGTACATTTAGTTTAAAAACACGATTTTGAACTGATTACAGAGTTATCGTGAATAATTCTTTTCTAAAATAACAAACAACCTAGTTTTATTATTTTTCCACTTAAGGCTCTCTCATTTTGTTAAACATACAGTTACATTCTTTTCTTTGCCTTTTTCCTTTCATAAAAAATAATACAACTTGAATATCTATTTCTTAAAATTACATGTGTGTAATGTTTACATTTTCTAATGTAAACTAGCCATCAGAAAAAGAAACGCATTCTCTAAACTACATTTAACGACATCATAAAGTTGTCAACAAGCGTAGTAAGTGTAATACCTCGTTAGTATATTTTTTCATTGTGCAACGACATGTTCGTAATTTGTGAAATATGGAGCGTTGGCTTAGTAGTTAAAGCGTTCAATTTTCGGTCACCAAGTTTTAAATTCTAACCCCACTCCACCTATTTCAGTTTGACCAACTGTGTAATACTATTAGCCCTCACATTTCGAATGTGGATCCAAGTACCTGGTAAATGAGTTTATTCATTTTTATTTCTGTATGAATTTATCAAATCCTGACCTTATTTATTGTAGTAGTTTTGTTCGTTAAATTTCACTAAATATATTCAAATCTTCTGTGAAAAATCTTAGATCACATGAATTTAATGTACATCATCCACTTCCTATCATTTTTCATTTAATCTCCCTCCAGTCCATTCTTATGTTTTCTGTCTAAAATTGTTCTCATTTTACACTGTTAATAAATATAGCGTCTTAAATCTATGAACTGCCGTATCACATTTTATGTTTCCTGGTATATTTATCTCTTGTAGATGTAATCCCTCTTAAAAGCTATTCATTTGATTTTGGTTTCCAACATCTAAGTTCAGTAAAAGGATTTTTAAAAGATATAGCCTTACATGGCTGATTTCTACTTTAGATTTTTAAGATCCAATTTCTGCATTTATTGTTCTAATAGAATAATATGTTTTTATTATCTCAGTGAGTTAAAAATAGATTTTCGACTGTTTCACAACTTCGTTTGATTCGCTTCTCGGTAAAATAAATAAGTAACCGGATTAGACTAACACGATTTTAAGTAGTACAATGGATTTCTTGAAAAAAAATTTATTTTTTAGAATTATCGTCCAACTGATGAAGACATAGTTTGGTCACGTAAACCAACGGAATCTATAATTGAAGAAGAAATAAATGTTCACTCATCATCACTTGTTTTTATTGACGTTGGTGGGCAGACAAAAGAACGTCGTAAATGGTGTCAATGTTTTGCTGATATGACTTCTGTCCTGTTCCTTATTGCTTCCAGTCATTACGATGAACATTATCAAGATCGATTAACTAAAGAATTTCGAAATAAATTACATGAAGCTATGGTTGTTTTTGAAGGACTTATCAATCATATTGCTTTTAGACGTGTTTCCATCATTATATTTTTTAATAAAACTGATATACTTAAAGAAAAGTTGAACTCACGTACATCAAATATTCGTGATGAGTTTCCTAATTACCCTGTGAAAATGGATCCATTCCGTCTGCAAGATGTTCAAACATTTATGGTTGAAGTATTTGCCTCTCTTGTCAATCACAATTTTCCATCAGATACTCAAGCTCGTTCAAGTCTTTCACACTCATCATTCAATAATACTGTTAAATGTTCATCTCTTCATAGACAAAACTCTGTACCTATGTCCACTAACGTAACATTCACAGCCCCTGTACGAAAACGTATGGTCTATCGTCATTTCACAACTGCTGTAGATAGGCGAAATATCGAAACGGTATTCAATGCTATGCAAGATACAGTATTGCAAAATAATTTACGTCGTATCATGATGAGCTAAATACATATATATAAAGTTCATATATTTGGACTACAAAGTGTTTACTTCCATTTTCTGCTTTGGTTTATTATGTTGTTTGCGCCCTTGGATCTCAGTGAACATAATATCTATACCTTCCAAAAATTAAATAAAAGTTTTAATTTTCTTGCTAACATTGTCTGTGCCAAATTCAAATTACCCCCAAAATCACCCCTACTGCTAATAAGAAATGCACCCTTTTTATTTCATATTTTCTTAGCCAATCATTGTCTTTCATACTACTCAATTCTTTATTACATAAATATATGTGCTTTCTGAGTTTCGATTTATTCTCCGCGCATTTGCCTATGTTGAGCTTACATATATAAACACAAGACGTTAATGGTACGACAATCTATCGATTATATATAGGTGATTTATTTCATTTGATTTGTGTAGATAATATACTTTATTTTTCTATATATATATATATATATATATATATATATATATATATATATATATATATATAGTGATGTAAATTTCAGTTTTCCTACATGAAGGGACTGGAAAATAAAGAGACAATGGTCCGTATTCTGGAGCAATACTTGTTGATAATGGGTAAATTCCCCAATCGTTTTTAAGGCACGATGCTCGTTCATATGTTTTGTTTTTAGCCAATTCATATTTCAATTGTTGTAAATCGTGTGTTTTATTTTTTTTGTTATAAAGCAAGCTTTTTATACTTCAGATTTATTTGCGTATAAACGCATGTTTACCTTACTGTAATTATATTTGGTGTACCTTAATTCAAGGGTTGATCACGTAATGAATATTTATATGACTTCAGTTATGTTAAATAATTTTGTCTCTGAAAACAAATTTTGACGTACTATGAGAAAAATCGCAGTTTTTAATGTGACTAGAAGAATATGTAGCGCTTGGGAATGGCTTGATTTAAATAGTTTTCATTGTGGATCGGAGAACCACTGGAAGCCACGGAGTGATAGATAACTAATTCAATCAGTCCGTAGTGAAGTCATAATTATCTCCACAAAGGAGCCGTCTAAACAATCTGTAAATGTTAGTCGCATAGTGATATAACTTTAAGACTCCCGTGAATCGATCAACAAGGACAGTTGACTGAAGGTATTAATTATAGTTGAGGATTCGATGGAAAGTGAAACAACAGTAAACATAATCCAACTTATGAAAACAAGAGAAATGTTAATTATGATAGTTAGGAAAGTTGAATCTTCACTAGTTGTATGTACCTTGGACGATCCTATCCGGACTAATTATCTTTAAGTTTGAAACGCTTTATTTATGTAAATTTCAAAGCCGAGACGAGTTCGTATACTTCTATTGACCAACATATGTACAACTTTTTTTTACAAATTTGCAGCATATAACTTCACATCATAACCAGGTAACTTGCAGTGTTTTTCTGGCGTATAGTCAACAAGACTCAAATGACGAAGAGCCATGAATCCAAATAACTCTCTACCTATTTATGCCTTATTAGGCAGACTTCCACATAGTAACTAGCTAACAACATTCTTGATGTTGTTGTGGAGTTGCATTGGGTTATTCTTACTAGAAATCAAGATTTCCTTCTATTAGATACTAAAATGGAATTACTATAATGATTCACCCCCAGTAATAACCAGGGTTTCTTTTCACACTACAAAACAAAGGGGGTTAGTGATTAATACTTATGTAGTAAGCCTATTGTATTATTTGTCTACTCGTTGTAATTTAGATATTTAATCCATTACGTAAAATTATGTGTGAGCCTGATTGAGCGCATATCTGCACATCAATCTTTATCTCTTCGCCCATTGGTTGTAAACACAGACAATCAATAATTTTTCCACAATCGATATATATATATGTATATATATTTCACACACACTCTCAGTCGTCTCACTTGCTTGCGTGCGGATTTTTACTAATCATTAACAATAAACTATCTCTACAACTAGTGTTCGGGCTTTTGAATAATCTCGAGTGAATTCATAATACTACTAGATTTAGCCTGTGTTAAATACTTAGTTAACGGGATACTATTTATTGGAGTCAGATATAGAGGAAATTAGCCTCTAGACTTACTAAGATTGGTCTTAGTTTTTTGCTTCGTAATTACGTCAAAAAAATGAGTATTGAATTCAGTATATTATTCTTAGTCAAATTATCTGACTTTTCACTTAAATACTACATTTCAATTAACATTCTTATTCTACAGTAATTGGGTCTCATTAAAAGGCTTTAGTTATGATTTATGTTGTTTTCTTTCACGCTTGCATTGTAGCTTAGGTGGTCAGAAGACTGAATTTTGTCAGGCTTCAACAAATAGAACTATATCATCTTCGTATCCTAGGTCAACAAGTAAATCTCCAGGTAGATAATCAACTCTCGAAGTCAGATTACAAGAGTGTTATTTCTTAAAGGATATTTGTGACGAATTCACAAATGTAAAAATTAGACAGCCCTGACGAACACCACTTGAGGTTAAAAATAATGGTGATAGTTCGCCATAAACTTTGACTCGAGTAGGGATCCTGTATAAACGTAATGTACTTTTTTGGTACGCCTTTTAATGACACTGCTAGAAATCCGAACGGTTAGGCGTTCGCGCGCGAGATCGGAGGTCCTGGGTTCGAGTCTCTGTCGTAGGATCGCGCATCCGCGACGCTGAGTCATATGGTAGGATGAAACGGCCGTTCAGTGCTTCCAGATTTCACTAGTTGTCTAAATTAGATAGATTCATGATCGAATTGAAGTCCGACAATCTCTACAACCCCATACTGAAAATGTAACTGTAGTTAGACGTCAAAAAGTATGCTCATGCTTCAAAACCCAGCGAATAATGGATATTTAGTCTACACATTCACACTCAACTTTTCAACCAGCCTGGTTTTCTCACGTTTGCTCTCAACAAGCACTAGTTGAGTGACGTAGTATTATTAAGGCTAATATTTTGGAGGCTATGTTAGCCAAACCGATTCTTCTGTGATAATTATAAGAGGACTTTTGTCCTTCCGTATAAAATGGAACGATCAGCGATCGAGACTAAGTCCGATTTGCAGATTTCAGGTAATATATCAGTCAACCTTAAAAACCTTAGGGTTTAATCCATCAGGACATGCTGCTCTCTCTTCCTTTAGATTTGCAATGACTTTTCCTACTTTTTTAAGAAACAGGTGTCTTATATTGACATCCCATTCGGGTTGTTTGGTAAAAGTAGGCATACATCTGTCTAAATGATCTTACTGATAGTTTCTTCATTCAGTGATCCATGGGTTACAATAGTTTATGTACTTTGTTGATTGATAAAATCCAACAAAATAAAGTTGCACAATTTTCGCGGGCAATATATTAACTAAAAATCACAAAAGCAACGCTGCAAGTCCATAACTTTTTTAAGGTCTATTAAGTAATAAAACCTACTACAACGATGCTTAATCACATGACACGAATCCAACTTAATGTTTTTTTAAGTATCAGACAACGAAACGATAGTTCTACAAGGCGTAAGAAATTTATTTTGGAAAATTTATTCTTTTACAGCAAAATCAGCCAGGTCGGGTAGCTCCTCGATGCCATCTTTAGTAACAATACGGACCATGTACCGATCAAGATTTATAACTAGACGTTTCTGAACTTCCTGAATACACAAACGCAAAAGTGCGACAGCTTCATTTACAGTCATATCTGGACGGTGCATACGGTCTAAGATACTCAAAGCAACAAGAGCTCCGTATCCATGCACTGCGAAAGGTACCTGAAGAAAGCAAAGAAACAATAAAGGTATACATGACCCTGAAACATAAATTAAGACAGATCAGAATTGTGTATTGAGCGCTGTACCTGAATGTGAATAATCTTCAAACAGTGATGAATAAATGATTAGCTGTTAGACATTGTTTGCGCACCTGGGCAGTATCACAGCTCTCACACAAATTAAATGAGATTTGTGTGGCGCATATATATTTGGTGCCCCTTTGTACCAATATTTATGTGTTTAAATAAATAAAATTCCTATGCGTAGATGAACTGTATATCAGATTCTTAGCGAGCATTTAGATACAACTTTGGTGATAATTCCGATGAACATGTCAGTATTCACAAAATCGAATTTATTCGTGCTTTTATTCTTAGTCTGTATGAGTTCTGACAAGCTCAATCTGTGCCTATCGATCAGAATGACTAATTTGTCATGATCATGCCCCAGGTCTATATATGGTCAATACTTTCACATAACGACTGGGTACACATATATTCCTTCACATACCATAGTTCAGATACAATTCATAACACATGCCTCGCGTTGATACTTTGTAAATCTATACTCAACACTTTAATATAATTAGACAATTGTTTAGCACATAGATTTCAACCCCCAAATGCCCTGGTACGGCCGAGAGTGGGGAGAGTCTACTCTCCCTCTCGAAATGCTCTCACATGGCCAGCGAATATATAGCCTCTGCCAGGGAAGTCCTACTCACTGCCTTCTCGTGGCGGGAGTGTTGTCTACGAAAGTGAGAGGACGAAAAGCGAATGTCCGGCACTTTAACCGGGTTGGTGGACACGGAGGGTCCACCTAGGGGAGTTGGAAAACCCTGATTCCAAACCAATGGTGCACATGGGCTCCAGTATCCTGATGGAACGAATGGCGGACGAACCTGTCATTGGTCAACGGCTACCATGGGACTGCATCTCCTCACGATGCTCCACTGCCTTGTGGATCAGACCTTTTGGTCAAAGGCTCGGGATGTGGCCCCCTAAGAAAACCACCTGCTTCGGTTTGGGTACCCGGGCAGTATAACAGCCCACACACAAATTAATGAAATGATGAATTCTATTGACGATACTATTCCTGCTCATACTAGAAGCAAGACAATTTACATTATTATTATTACCATTATTATTATTATTTACCATATCGCTAACTCACCCCCTTTTATCCCCAATTTGTGTAACCTTACTTTTCAACTTATGCAGCAGCTCGCCCATGGTGGAAAATCTGTCCTATCTAAACGATCTCCAGTCACTGTCTGGTTGAAAGTGAATGCTTCCACCGATAATGAATACTGAAGCAGTTTTTTCTGAAACCACGTACGCCGTTCAAGCTGGCTTCCTTCAACGTTCGCAGACTAATGCATATCAGACAACAGATAGGGCTGTCTATGTCTTTGGAAGGTCTTAATGTTGATGTTTGTTGTCTATCCGAGACCCGTATTCAAGACTCTAGTGAAGTACTACAAATCCGCTCTCCATCTGTCTCGAAAAGCTTGTTCCACGTGCGCTTATCCGGGGACCCTGTGGCATCTTCGTCTGGTCTTGCTGGCGTTGGTGTCGCACTAAGCGCTAGAGCTGAGGCAGCACTAATCGATTGGATCCCCATTAACAGTCGGTTATGTGCTGTCAGATTAGAAAGTTCCATCAAAGTGAGAAGAAATCGGCGTGAGAAACGGTGTCTTTTCGTCATCTCCGCCTATGCCCCCAACAGATTGCAGCCCGGATGCAATCAAGGATGAGTTTTACCATCAGTTAACAGTTCTTCTCCAGAAAGCGCGTTCGACAGATATTGTAGTACTAGCCGGAGACTTGAATGCACAGGTCGGGCGTCTAGGCACAGAAGAGAGTCGTTTAGGTGGCCGATGGGGACTTGTTGGTCGCAGGACAGATAACGGGGACCGTTTGCTGCAACTGTGCACAGACCACAACCTGTTTCTGGCCATCACTAACTTCTGGCACAGTCATCGCCGGTGTGCCACCTGGCGTCCTCCCTCTGCATCCCAAGCATGGACTTAGATTGATCACATCGCGATCAGCTACCGCTGGCGTGGTTGTGTACAAGACTGCCGCTCCTTTTGGAGTACCTATCTGGAGTCTGATCATGCTCTGGTCTGCGCCAATCTCACCTTACTTTTCAGTGGCCGAAGGATTGACCACCACCAACGGATTGATGTTAGTAAACTGGCTGCAACGTCTGTTGCAAGTAAGTATCGAGCGAAGCTAGCCTCTAGGCTAGCTACCACCCCACTGAAAAGTATAGATGAGCATTGGTTGCTTCTTCACGACGCCATGAAAATGGCGAGTAAAGCCGCTTGCGGCTTCGCGAAACGTCCCGCTTACAAGCACTGGGTTTCTTCTGGCTCCTTACAACTGATGGAAGCCCGTCGGTCTACTCCGGGTGACCATGAGTTTGACCACAAACGAAGGCTGTTACGTAATGAAATCGGGCAAAGCTTGCGTAAGGACCGGGAAGCCTGGATGACGAGGATGACGGGATGCCAATCACTAACATCTGTCTACGTCTTGGACGATGGGCGGAATTCTTCGAAGGGCAGTTCAACTGGCCTGTTGCTCCGGCAACATCAACCAGCTTGTCCTGCTCCCCATGGCCGGTGACGACTGATCCACCAAACGAGGCGGAAGTTCGCAAGGAACTCCAACTCTTGAAACGTTACAAATCACCGGGTCCAGATGACTTACCTCCGGCTCTTTTTAAAGATGGTGGTGACCTTCTGACTAAGGAATTGACTGTGTTGTTTGGAAAGGTTTGGGAACAAGAAAGTGTTCCAACATCATGGAATGAGTCAATAGTCGTCCCTATCTTTAAAAAGGGTTCACATTGTTCCTGCAATAACTATCGGGGGATAAGTCTACTTTCGATTGCGTCCAAACTATTGGCTTCTATCATTCTTCGTAGATTGTTTAAAACCCGAGAACGATTGACTCGCGAGGAGCAGGCTGGTTTTCGTTCTGGCCGAGGATGCATTGATCACATCTTCACCCTCCGCCAAATGTTAGAACACCGTCATACTGATCGCAGGCCAACAATCGTAGTGTTTCTTGACATCAGGGCGGCCTTCGATTCGTTGGACAGGACTGTTCTCTGGGATTGTCTATTGAAGAAGGGTGTGCCTGAGAAGTTCATTAACATCTTAAAGGCCCTGTATACGAACACCTCAGGCAGAGTGAGGGCATACAACCACCTTTCTCCCTTGTTCCATTCGAGCAGTGGGGTTAGGCAGGGTTGCCCGATCTCACCATTCCTCTTCAACTTTGCTATCGACGACATCCTGGAAACAGCTCTGATGGATGTAAGTAATGGCGGTGTGAATATGTTGCCTGGAGAACGACTTCTCGACCTTGAGTATGCGGATGATATTGTCTTACTGTGCGATAATGCTCAAGCCATGCAATCCGCACTTAATCAGTTGGCAATCAGTGTCCGCAGGTACGGCATGTGCTTTGCACCCTCCAAGTGCAAAATACTCCTACAAGACTGGCAGGATTCTCATCCTGTACTCACCCTGGATGGTGAGCAGATTGAAGTAGTTGAGAAGTTCGTGTATCGAGGTGGCCATATAAGTGCTGGTGGTGGCGTGAGTGATGAGATTGATGCACGTATAATGAAAGCCAGAGCGGCTTATGCCAATCTGGGCCATCTTTGGCGCCTTCGTGATGTTAGTCTGGCTGTAAAAGGTCGGATCTACAATGCGTCGGTGAGAGCAGTTTTGCTCTATGCTTGTGAAACCTGGCCTCTCCGAGTTGAGGATGTTAGACGACTCTCTGTGTTCGATCATCGTTGTCTCCGAAGGATTGCTGACATCCAGTGGCAACACCATGTTAGTAATGCAGAGGTTCGGCATCGTGTGTTCGGGTGCGTAGACGATAATTCAATTGGTGTCACCATCTTGAAACACCGACTTCGGTGGCTTGGACATGTTTTACGAATGTCGTCCCAGAGACTTCCACGTCGTGCATTATTTGCCGACTCTGGGACTGGTTGGAAAAAGCGGAGAGGAGGTCAGTGTATGACATGGTGTCGTGGCATGAAAGAAAGCTGCAAAGGGCTAGCTTCTGTTGGTCCTTCACGACTCCCTGGCTGGGGTCCGAGAGATGGTGCAACACTGGCTAGAGACGTTATCAGATATGGCTCAGAATAGAAGCCAGTGGCGATCCTGCTGCAACCTTCTTTTACTTTCTACATAAAGAATGGTTCTAACTTTCTTAACTGAAAGTCTTCTGGTTGTACATTTCAGTCCGCCTTATCTTTTCATCCCTTCTCTTCCTACTTTCATTATTTTGTGTGGCGCATATGTACCCGGTGCCCTTTTGTACCAATATATATGTTTAAATAAATAAATAGATTTCATTCCTATTTTTGGTGGATTTGGTCATTCAGCTTAACGTCCGACGTCACTCTCGAAAAGAATGTTAGGGTTATTTCTGATTTCAGTTGCTTCGGTTTTTTAAGCAGAATTATCCTTTTTTATGACTGGTAAATCCGTTGCCTAATGTGGAACTAGTCCACAGTTAAACGAAAGTCGAACAAGATATGAACGCTAGCTTTGCCTGTAAATCACTTAACTTACAGAACTCAGCTAGCTTTATGTGGTTACAACAAAACGCTACCACTTGGGAGTATTCACGAAAGTAATCAAACTAGTTTTGTTCATTATGCTAATAACATTAGTTCTTTCTTTAACCAAGATGGTAACCTAACCTCATTAAACGGAAACTCTGCCCTACATAAAAATGCATCTAAATATTTTAGATCTAACTAACTAGCATTTAGTTTTTCAATGTTGAATAATTACATTCATTATAGTATGTGGCAATTTTATAAGGAACAAATATCGAAATTACGTCTACCCACCTTAATTAGAGAGGCCAAATAGTCCAAATAATACAGCTCAGGGCCTGTCTGAAGGTCAAAGCCGGCTATAAGTAAATTGACAAAGTACGGAGACTGCACTATAAAAAATTTATGACATTCCATCTTACTCGACTACGCAGGGATTCTGCCATATTGTTCCTGGTAAAATTAGCAGCTGCACTAGGAGTTAACTCATATCCTTGAAGCAAAGTAAGTGGTGCGACACGACTAACCATTTCTTATTTCGTATAGCTGCATGTTTTGTTGAATGAACTCGGAAAACTGAGAAGTGTCACCAGATTCACCACATACGGCAGCTAGCACTCGTTTACTAAATTTAAACATCTTGCCCTCATCATGTTTAATGGTAAGAATTGAGTGGGCACATCGCATGTCTGCTGCCAGTAACACAAAATCGTTCATCTTGATCCCTATTATACACTCCATGACTTTCTTAACGTTGACGAGTCAAATGATTCAAGTAGACCGGGCTCCACCCGACCTTCAGTAGATATCCGACCTTAATAGCAAGGACAAAAATCAGATCATCTTTATGAAACATTTCCTAGGTGTTTAGTTGAATGACTTTAACTTGGAAATAGGGAGGAAAATTGACTGTGTTAAGTGCTGCGTTGTAAGGTTGTACTGATTTCCAAATCATATAAAATATCAGGCCGTAACGAATGGTCAGGTATGTAACAATAAGATTTGGCTCGACAAGCTTAATGTTATGTGATCGACGAACTGTTGATGCCTAAATGTGGACAACTATCACGGGAGATCTAAAATAAACTTTACAAAATTGGATCACAGTTGCGTGATTCAGATTCAGGTCATTACTTACACCTGTTACCTATCATGGAGGAGCTTGGGACGCCCACAATCAATCGCCATCCAACTCTGTCCCGGGCAATCCTTTCCAGTGATTTCCAGTTGCTATTCATCTTTTTCATATCTGCTTCCGATTCCTGACGCAACATGTTCTTTAGTTATTCACTTTTCCGTTCCCTTCAGACCATCGACCAATCTTATCGCTTTCGTAAACTTTAGCAAGCTTCGATTTGTGCTCAAGCCTTTTCCTAATGGATCATTTAAAGGCTAAAACAGCAATTCCGCTATCGGTACATTTTTGAAATTAATTACTCGACAGAAAAGCCCGTATGCTACTGGTATTTTTTTTATTCTCGGCTTTGAAACTGCCATGATGTAACGCCCTAGCTGACTGATCATATTTGAGGAGGAAACAGATGGTATATCATACTCGAATTCGTTTCTTGGACTTCTGTGCATCGTGAAGCAATCATTTTTAATTTTCCATAAGATAGCATAAAGATGCTTAACAATCTGGGGCCGGTGATATCTCATTCAGACTTAGCTAACTCATACATCAGGCATATTGTGACGTTGTGGCACTGTTTCCACATCGGACTATAGATCACCGATCCTTGAAAATTCTGTGGGACATCGCTATTTAAAAACGGTCGACTCAGATTAGTCAATCACATTCCATGTACTGGCCCATGTGATAGTAGTCATACTCTATGTCTTCGACCTATTTTCATTAATACAGCTCTCCTATACCATCATATTTGTTTTATACAATCATCAAAGTGACCTCAGAACCTGAATACCACGAGAGGGTAGTACACGTTGGGTATTACCGTGAGGTATACCTCTGGCGTAAGCTCGGATGTCACATCCTTTTTTTCCTTCGGCCATCTACTTAGATCACCTACGTTCCACATCTACAATAAGTTCAGGAATTTTGGGGATAGTCGTCTTCCGTGTTCTATTAAAGAGATATGAGTTATCTTGTGAAAAGGTTGACTTGCGACCTGTGAGAGTTTTCGTAATTTGAATCTAATTCCTCCGTGGATATCAAGGTGAACGTATTTCCAACCAATCTAGTGGAAACTCTTCCCAGTGTCATTTCATATATTAATATTTTAGGTCCATTAGAAAAGAAGTGGTCATTTGTTTTCAGTTAATGGCTTACTTTAACTTGTAAGTTATTCTAAGACGACAATAAAAAAAACAGTCCTTTCTATCATATTCTAGTTATCAGCAATAACCTGCTCAATGTCCTTGTGGATGTAGTTAGCTCCTACGGATAAGTATTGGCAACCTGTTCCACAATAAAACATACCTCACTGTAAAAAAACTTACAGCGCATTTGTTTTTGGTGCTTTACGGTTAATAGTGTATATGCATTGTTTCTTAGTCTATGAGCTGGGTCATGGATCATAGTTAGGCAAAAGATTAGAAATGTGAGTCAATTTATTGCTTTGTAGAGAAATATCAGATTGTTCCTTAACCTACGGTGCTATACAGATTCTAAAGAGAGACGCTTACATCTCCCTATGTAATCGAGAGTAGAGTCACTTACTAGCACTTGGCATGTAAAAAGTTTTTGAACACCTTTCGTGCCTTAAGGTAACCCTCGTGCTATTGATAGAAGAGACCAGAGAAGTAGTGAATAGGTCTTTATTTCGATCTTCGCGCAGTCACAGTGGAGCGTGGGTTTATCTATTCAGACAAACAAAGTCTCTCAACATTCAATATAAGATAATAGGGAATATAACGCTTACAAAAAGTAAGGAAGTGAATGAATACTTGAACAATACTGTTTTAGCATATGCTTGGTTGTTTGGGGTCAACTCTTAACCAACCAACCTGAGCTGTTACATTAGCTTCCCCCTAGAATCGACTTCCGTAGGGACGTCGGTTCGATTAACCTATCTATGGAAAACACCTTAGTTCTATTTCTCATTCCAAGGCGAAATTATCAACTCCCTCACCATTTGACTTACAATCAGTTACGACTAACGCTTTCAATGATAGTCCATGGATGTCTCTTCATTTACTAGCTTGTCATCTTATTTTGTAGCATGTGATCTTTTCTACAACTATCGCTGACGGTTTGCTGCGTGCTTTCAAGAGAAAGTGTGAGAATGTGGAATAAGAATATCTGAAGAAGTGCCGCGAGCGGGCTACCCAACACCATGTTGGTGAGGTACGATTTTTCCATGCTCAGACCGGCTATCAGGTGTTTACTCACCTGCCTCTTGAGTCGCCCTCAAGTAAAAAGTAAATAAGAGTCTACTTCAAAGGTAATGGTGAAAGTCAAGCAAGCCTGAAGAACTGCTCCACTGCCTGCATAAAATAATAAGATACAAAATGGAAATACATAAATGCGATTGATAATTGTTCGGTTCATGTAAGTGCTTGGCCTCCAGAACGGATTGGTATTCTGGAAGGAAATAGACATAGTGTAGATATCTTGTGCACGAAGAACCATGAAAACAACAAAAAAAATACTCTTTTGTAATGCATATATGTAAAAGGGTGAACTTGCTAGAAGTTGGACTCTAACAAAATCGATCAAATGCATGACCTTGAGCCAGTGATGACCGCCTTTTACAACTAGGTGCGCAACCAAGGGTGCATCAGAGTAATCCACAAAACGGAAACGAATATACACGTCGGGCTCACCACTTTCGTGCCTTAAGGTAACCCTCGTGCTATTGATAGAAGAGACCAGAGAAGTAGTGAATAGGTCTTTATTTCGATCTTCGCGCAGTCACAGTGGAGCGTGGGTTTATCTATTCAGACAAACAAAGTCTCTCAACATTCAATATAAGATAATAGGGAATATAACGCTTACAAAAAGTAAGGAAGTGAATGAATACTTGAACAATACTGTTTTAGCATATGCTTGGTTGTTTGGGGTCAACTCTTAACCAACCAACCTGAGCTGTTACACACCTACCCTTATTTTGTCTGTGGTATGCATATTAGAGAAGATAAAAGAGCAGTATTCAAGGGATTGTCGTACACATATTTTTGTAGAGCGTGAGCTAAGCCTCTGTTGTGAAATTTTTCGTTGTGAAGCAAATTAGCCGTCTAGCTTTTAAAATAATAGAGGGGGCATGCTCTTCAAATTGTAGGCTTCTTGTGAAATTGATTTTTAGATCTTGTACTCATTTAAGTGTCTGGACTCTACTTTGCAGTTCATAGGGATACTTTCCCAAATACACGAGCCCGCACTTGTTGATATTAAATGATAACTGCCATTTTGCGCTTCAGGGGATCACACTGCTGCTGTTCGTGAGGTTTTCCTTAACCTCGATGTATCTAACGTCTTTGATCGTCACATGGAGGTGATCCTCAGACATTTCCTTCCATCGACGGAGGAAGGATTGAAGACATTATTACCACGTCATCCCCTGGGTGACGCCAAACCGAGCAATCGCCTCACGCGCCTGCAGTCTCTCTCAGGACCCACGTCAGCTGATTCTGAAATCGTTAAGGAATTATGGCTCGAACCCCTACCAGCACATATATAACCAACAATTACGGCCCTGCTCGATGATACACAACCTACCCAGTTGGCCCTCATAGCAGATGAGATATTGGCAAGGACTGGCATCTGAGACAACTATATAGTTGCCTCAAAGTCGCTCTCGAACGCAGATCTCCACGCTAGTCGCCTTTCGACTCAGGGTGATAGGGGTGGCTGTATTCATATTCGTCTCAATTTCTGAGACCGTTACAATATACCAGAACTCTACGTCTCAATGGTCAGGCCACGATCCCGTAAAGCTGTAACCACTCGCCCTAAACAGGCGTCTTCCGAGCCACGCCAAGAGGCGGTTTCGGAGGTGGGTACTGATTTATGCTGGTTCCACTGTTCATTTGGGTGCGCTGTTCGTCACTACCAAGCCCCTTGCTCATACAAGGCAAGAAACTCTCGTGTCGGCGAGTAAATGCGGCCGTACTTGACGGCCCCTCAACCCATGTCGGCCGTTTATTTTACGTGCGCGACTTTCGCACTAACTCTAAGTATCTGATAGATAAAGGTGTCCAAGTTTCTGTAGTACCTATTGGTAATAGGAAGTCTGAAGCTACAATGCTTCGAATACGCTCTGCGAATGGCCCAGCCATCCCTACCTATGGTACACGACAGCTTACGGTCAACCTGAGCAACCGACGGTAGTATCTATGGGCATTCACCATCATCAACCTGGACAAGTGTAAACTTGGCAAACCAGAAGTAAAATTCTTCAGTCACACTATTAAGTAAGAGGATATTTTAACCCATGAGGACAAAGTACGTGCAATAATGGAGCACACCGTACCGTCCAAACCCAAATAACTGAAGGCATTTCCCGGCGTTTCATCCTACACGCGGCAGAACAGTTAATACCATCAACCGGCTTACTTTGCAGTAATCCACGCAAATTGAAACTGAACGATACCGCATGTACTACATTTTTCAGAGATCAAAATGGTTCTAACTGAAGTCACAATCCTCACTCATCCCGACCCATCAGCCACGCCTATTACAGCGGTCGATGCATCGGATTTTGCTATAGGAGCTGTTATCCAACATAACATCGGAAGCTGGCAACCTCTCGAATTTTTCTAACGACGCCTCACTCCAATGGAGATGATATGTAGCGCTTTAGATCGAGAATGGCTGACAGTCTACTATGCCATCAAACATTTCCAGTACACAGTAAAAGGTTGCCATTTCATCTTATTCACCGACCAAAAACCGTTAACGTATGCT